AAAAAAGAAAAAGAAAAAGAAAAGGAAAAAGAAAGAAAGAAAAAAGAAAAAGAAAGTTGACGCTGGACCAGCAAAGTGTAAGACACACAGTCCACAAATTAGGTGCAGTGAATACCCATCATCCAGCTAAAATAGAGATGAATAATAAAAACACAAATCTTTTCAGGTGAGGGTTTACATCATCACTGATGTATTGAATTTTATTAATATAAAGACGTTTAGGACCTACTCCAGATTAAGAATTTTTTTAAGATCTTGCTATATTCTTATATTCTAATATGTTTGATATGGTCTCATAATTATTATGGAACTTTTTTCTATGTAAGGATTACGTTCTCCAGTTTCATAAATTAGGTATAATACCCACTCTTATTTGGAAATAGAGACAGTCAGTACATTTATAAATATTTTATTCAAAAATTTTTGGATTGACTTTATTTTGCGTGCCACAGAAACAACCAAATTTCCTTGTCAGCTGCATTAATTTGTAATAAAACCTTTAACCTTTAAAACTAATCAGTAATAAGTTAATTACAGCTATTCAAAGTCTTTTGTCATCTACACACAGGTTTTCTGTTTGGTTTTGTTTTCTGTTCTTCCCTGAACACACTTGCAAATCAGTACAAGCCCAAGTGCTTCATCTTCAACAAAAAAGAACTGTTTCGGGTCCCCAGGCAAAAGGATTACGCCAGGTACTTGAGAGCCCTGGTTCCAGGTGTCATTGCCTAGAAAACTCCAAGACCCTATCAGTGGCCTGGGTAGGGATTTCCAGAGTACCAGCTGAAAACTCAGATGAGCTCAGGAAACTGCTAACTCACGAGTGAAGAAACAAGAATAGGATGGAAGGATCTGGTAAAGGATGATTAGTGTCAAGTAGGACATTGCTGATGTTTCAGTATTTTGTTTTTTGGATTTAAGGAACACACCCCCTCTTTCTGTTATCTCTTAAGCTATTTATAACTCTTAACACTTTAATAGACTATGCTTTTCCTAACAAAAATTAAACATCTTTTTCTTCCTAACTAATCCTTCCAGAATTCAGAAATCCTTACTGAGCATTCTTAGTTTCATGGCAACATAGTTCTCTGCGCAAGTTTAGTGAGTCTCTCAGTTTTGTTAACAGGATATAATGCTTGAAATAGCATATTTTAAAAATGAAATTCTCTTGGACCAACAGTTATTGTAATGGCTATGTCGCTGAACTCCCATGTCGGCGACCACAGTTGGAGTCCCAGACCCCACCTTCCATATGTTGCTTTCAAGGAACACATCTCGAGGGACCAGCAGTTACCGTAATGGCTATGTCGCTGGACTCCCTTGTAGTCGACCACGGGGGCTTAAACTCACGCCGGGTGCATGTGTGTGTGTGCCCAAGATGCCAAGAGGAGAATGGAGGAGAAGAAATTGCAGCGTGGCCATCCCCCCTGGGGGGTGATTTCTCACTTTCTATCTCTCTGTCTCTCTGTCTTTTTGGCGTGTGCATGCACCCTATAGGAAAAACCTCTCTGACAAAAAGAAAGAAAGAAATTCACTTAGATATGACCACACACTTTTTAAGGAACTAAGGCTGACTGTACAGAACCAATGTTTACAAAGTCCTTTGGGGAGAACATACCTGTCTTACAGGTTCCCAGCCTTATTAAGTAAGAAAGCAAAGTCATTTTCTTAGAAGAGAAAAATTTACCCAAATCTATAGATATTGCTGATGAAATTTGATGGCAAGCCTTTGGCTTGTTTTTTCAACTTTTTAAAAATACTGTCTGGAGGCCATCAGGTGGTGAAGTGGTTATTTTGATGGACTCCCATATGGCTGACTGTGGTTTGAGTACCAGACCTAGCAGCTTGAAACTCAGGCTGGGTGCTTGTGCATATGTACCCAAGATCCTGGGAGAATGGAAGAGAAGGGATTGCGGTATGGCCATGCCCCCTTAGGTGGTGATTTCTCACTTTCCCTCTCAGTATCTCTGCCTGTCTCTCTCCAGCAAGCCCATGTGCCAAAAAGCAAAAATCTTTTAAAACCAGTGGTGCCTGATAGCACAAAGCTCTGCAATGATCCACGATATCTGGAAGATGGCAGTTGGTTACCAGGTCCACCCATGCCCGTGATCCTACCTGGCTGACATGCTAGAGGAAAATCACAGCATAAGACCTGTTGAGGGTTCTTCTCTCTCTTCTCTAATAGAAGAAAGGTGTTTGGATCCCCACGTCGCTGACTGACTTGAGAGGCTAAGGCAGAAGAGAGAATCACAACATAGTAAGAGCTCACCTATGAAAAGAGTGCAAGGTTGCTCAGAACTCTGCTGCACTGTCGGTGGGATTGAAAATTGGTCCAGCCATTGTAGAGAACAATATGGAGGTTTCTCAAATGCCTTCAAGTAGATCTACCATATGATCCAGCAATTCCCTTCTGGTTATCTACCCAAAGGATAGGAGAATGCTCAGTCAGAAAAGTGCTTGCACATCTATGTTTATTGTGACATTATTCACAATTACTAAGACATGGAACCAACCCAAATGTCCATATGTCCATAAAAAAACAAGACCCTGGTATTTGATAGAAAGTGGATGAATATGAAAGATTTATTCCTGAGTGAAGTAAGTCAGGCTATGAAAGAGAGAGATTGTATGTCTGCACTCTATGGTAGAGACTGAAAGACTGGAAAATGTAAAAACACTGAAAATAATTATGGACACTGGGAACTGAGTGAAAGGGAAGTAGGAGAGGAGGAGAGTATAGGGATGGAAATGTGGTAGAAATTTATGTTTTCCAGTCCTTCAGTCTCCACCATAGCATGTAGACAGTTGGTACATGTTAAGTGGATACAATGTCTCTGTTTTCATAGCCTGACTTGCTTCACTCAGAATAAATCTTCCATGTGCATCCACTTTCTATTAAATACCAAGGTCTTGCTTTTTATGGCTGATTAGTATTCCATGGAGTATATGAGTCACACTTTTTCAATCCATTCCTTTGGAGAGGTTTTTGCTATAGGGTGGGTACGCTCACCAGAAAGACAGAGACAGAGAGACAGAAAGCAAGAAATCACCCCCTGGGGAGATGGCCATGCCACAATCCCTTCTCCTCCACTCTCCTCTTGGGATCTCGGGCACGCACGCACACGCACCCGGTGTGAGCTTAAGCCACTGGGTCCTGTATTCAAACTGTAGTGGACTACATGGGAGTCCAGCGACATAGCCACTACACCATCCGCTGGTCCCAGTAACAATTAATTCGATAAGGTTTGTAGAAGTACACATAAGAGAACATCTTCAACCCTTAGTTTAGGCCACAATATTTTGGATAAAACATAGAAAATACTAATCAGAAAAGAAAATGTTGATAAATTGGACTTTATCAGACTTAAAACTTCTGTTCTTTTAAATATTCCATTAAGAAAGTGAAAAGATTTGACAAAGACCAATACCAATATATCTGACTAAAAATATAAAGAAATCTTACACTGCAAAAAAAAAAAAAAAAAGGCAGGGGGGACCTTGATTTTTAAAGTGGGCAAAATGTGTGGGAAAAGAAATCTGATCCAAAAAAGCTATATTGATAACCAATAATTTACACACAAAATGAGCAAGATCTTTTATCATGAGAAAATGGAAAGTAAAAGTACAATGAAATGCCACTTTGCACCTATTAAAATGACTAAAATACTAAGTGTTGGTGAAAAAACAAAGCAGCTGAAACTCACAGGAAGGGGGATGTAAAATGGTATAACTACTTTGCAAAAGAGCTCACGTTTTTTTTTAGAAAGTTAAACACACCGTTACCGTACAACTCAGCAATTCTATTTCAAAGGATTTACTCAAGAAAAACAAAAATCTACATTCACCAAAAAACTTGTACATAAATGTTCACAGCAGCTTTATTCAATATAGCCCCAAACTGGAAACATCTCCCATTTGAATCAATTATATGAATGAACAAACAAATTGTGGCATATTCCTAAAACTGAAAAGTTCTCAGCGATAAAAAGGAATGAGCTATGATATGCATGACCATGTGGTCAAGAAATCAGACATCACACTGACAGGCACGAGGTCAGCGGTCACCTAGAGCCAGACAGGACCAGGATGAGTGATGTAAACAGCCACTAGGGCCTGTCTCTGTAGTAAGGGTTACATGGCTGTACATATGTTAAAGTTCATCAAACTGTACATTTGAAATGAGTTTATTCTACTCTATGACGTTTTTACCACAATGAAGTTGAATTCAAAAAGCCTATGAGTATATTACAATAGTAAAAGGAAAAAAAAAAAAAGGAAAGACTTTTTTACTACTATTAAAGGAAACTCTTTGAGGAGTCAACAGGTGGCATGGTGGTTGAGGCATTGGACTCCCACATGGCTGACTGCAGTTCTAGTCTTGGACCTGGTGGTTTTCTCACTCACCCTCTCTTCTCTCATGTCTCTGGTGAGCTCATATGCCCTACAGCAAATTTAAAGCAATAATAATAATAACAAATAAAGTTAAATAATTTTTTAAAAAAATAAAATAGCTCGGCAGCCAGCCAGTTTGCAGAGTGGTTAAGGGGGCTGGATCCCACATGACTGACTGTGCAGTTCAAGTCCTGGATCCAGCAGCTTGAAAATCATACTGGGCTCATATGTGTTTGTGCCCAAAATTCTGAGAGTCAAGCTGAGGAAAGACTGCAGCATGGTCATTGCCCTTGGGAGGTGTTTTCTCACTTTGCCAATCCTGTCCCCTCCCTGTGGCCCTAGGTACATCTCTATAGCACATTAAAAAAAAAAAAAAAAAGATAAGTCCTACCAAACGTGTACAACCTTAGCATAATTGATTTGAAAATTACACACTGCATGCTGTGAGAAACCACAAAAAAAAATAATTTTTGGAGACATTTTTGCTATAGGGCTTATATACTCACCAGACAGAGACAGAATGAGAAATCACCGCCCCCCCCGCCCCAGGGAGGATGGTCATGCTGCAATCCCTTCTCCACTGTTCCCCCAGGAATTGGGGCACACACACACCCACACACACACATGCATCAAGCATGAGTTTTAAGTCACCAGATTTGGAACTTGAACCATGGCCAACTACATGGGAATGCAATGACATAACCATTACACTATCTGCTGGTCCCAAAAATAAATAATTTTTAAAAATTTTGCCAGAAGGCATGTGTGCTCACCAGAAAGGAGAGAAGGAAAGTGAGAAAACACTTCTCATTACAATCCCTCATCCTCCGTTTCTAACTCCTTTCAGGATTTCAGACATGCACTCACAAGTGCCTGGCATATTCTTCAAGCTACCTAGTCCAGGATTCAAGCCACAGTTAGCCACGTGAGAGCCAGCCACCTTCACCACCATGCCACAAACTGCCTAATAAGTCATTTAAATAAATGAATAAAATTGTTGGGAAAAAGGTAACTTGTGAATATAAATAATTAAGGAAAAGAACTGATAATTATAGTGCTTCCCCAGCTTATAAAGAAAGGTTCTCTTTTTTGTTTACCTAAGACCTACCTAGTAAGTATAGAAGAAAGGGATTAGAAAATTAACAATTTGCTGGGGCGACAGGTGGAGTGGTGGTTAAGGGCACTCAACTTCCACATGGCCAACCATGGTTTGAGTCCCAAACCTGGCAACTTACTTTCTCACTTTCTTTTTCTCTCTTGCTCTCTCACTCTGTTCTTCTCTGGTCAAATTAAAATAAATAAATAAAGTTAAATAAAATAATTCTTAAAATAAAATTAACAATTTGCAACCCACAGTGAAGATTAGTTTACAGCTGACCTTGTAGCCTGGTGATTAAGAGAGGTTGGATCCCACAGGGGCAACTGCAGTTGAATGTCAGCCCTGTAGGCCTGGTAGCTTAAAACACACGCCAGGCATATGTAGGTGTGTGCCCAAAAGCCTGACAAGACGGAGACATGGAGGAAATGGAGCCTAGTCCATGGGGGGGGTAGGTGCTTTCTCCCCTTCCCTTTCCCTCTCTCTCTCTCTGTCACAAGTCCTCTAACAAGTAAAAGAAAATTAGTTCAGGCCAGATCATCAGTAGATCCTAAAATTAATTAGCTAAAATCTAAAGGAAACTAGCCAGTCACACGGTAGCGAAATGCCACCACACAGTTTAATCCTAGCAGCAAACGGAAGCATGTGCTTCCACAATCGCGATCTGGTGGTCACCTAACTAACCAAATGACCTGAATTATCGAAAGTGGGGTCACTAATACTGGGACAATCTGATGTAATATATAACACAAAATGAAATACAAAGCATCGTCTGAGAAATCACCTTGCCAACATGTTCTACCTGAACCGACTCAGGGCCTAATCTCTTTATTAAAATGTTTGCTATAGGGAGAGACAGAAAGAAACAGACAAAGAGGAAAAGTGAGAAATCATCCGCTGGGAGGGATGACCACAGCACAATCCTCTCCTCCATTCTCCTCTCAGGATTCTGGGCATGCACACGTGTACCCAGCATGTTTTTTCAAGCCAGACCTGGAACTGCCAGGTAGTATCCAGTGCCCTCGCCACCAGGCCACCTGCTGACCCCTGGGGACCTAATTTCCAGTCTACCGCATCTAGTTGGAATGGAGCAACAGATTAAACATGCTATGAGGAAACAGACAGGTCTGGGCTGTGGGGCCTACTGCAAGACAGCTGGCTGGTCTCCTAGAATTCAACAACATGAAGAAAACACGGGAGGATGATTCTAGGCTGAAAGACAAAACGAACAGTAAAATTAATGTATTCATGAACCTTCTTGGGAAAATGACATTATCAGGCAATTAGAGAAAAGTTAACATAGACTATTTTGTGATATTCAGGAATCGGAATAAATCACATGTGCTGAGAAACATGTGGTAAACACGGTGAAAGAACGTCATGTTAGAAGACGTACGCTGGCACTTTTAGGTGTGAAGTGTGGTGACACCAGACACTCTGAAAAGGTTCGCACACGCTAAGTCATGGGTATCTGACTGATGGACAGCAAGGGGTTGGGGGGTGTGAGAGAAGAAAAGAGAACCAAAAACTAGAGCAGAATTTATTTTTTCTTTTGAGCAGAATGTTTTTCTCAAAGTCGAATTTGAGTGCTTTTTTCCTTCCTTTATTTTTTTACATTAAATCACTGTGCATCTTTACAGCATGCAAAGTGAACTTTTTCCAGCACGAGTTAACTGTATATTAGTCCAAAGATATTACCACACACGTCAACAGATAATTTTCCATTTTTGTGTCTGTAAAATGTTTTGCTTCCTTATTTTTTAACCCTTGATGCCCACCCTCGCTTCCCACCCTCCTCTAAATGTGATGCTTCCGAGTTTCCAATGCATTCAAAATGTGTCATAAGAAGGCTGGAAAAAGTGCCCCAGACCCTCCCGTGGGAAGCTGCACGACCAGCTCATACAGGGTTCTTCTTCTGCCTCTGCCATAGTCGATGGTCTTCGGTGTGCTTCCGTGTGGTGGCCTTTCTTCAGAAAGGCACTCGCTCACTGAGAATAAAAAGTCAGTTGACTAAAATTAAGGAACTTTGTGACATATTTTCAGGTATGACCTGGAGGCAAGAGATTTTGACACGATTCAAAATGATGGTGACATGGAGAAAGGCAGGCAAGCCTCTTCTACAGAAAGAAACGCTTTCATTGGATTAGCATTTCCCCATAGAAAGAAAACGTCTGCGGCAGAAGGGCTGCAGGGCCTTGACTGTGAGACACCAAAGCAGTGAGGAGTAGCCCGGACAGGACTTTCACCGCAGCCTGAACTATGCTATTTCTTTCTCAAGGCCAAATTGTAAGCCTTATGCCCTTAACTGGTGGCCTTCGGGTTCCTAGTAAGTAAGATATTCTCTTCAGTTTTTACGTGCCAGAGGGCACCTGCACTCACCACAGAGAGAGACAGAGAGGAGGCAAAGGAAGAAAGAGCCTCAACAGGCTTGGTTGTGCCGCAATCCCTCCTCCATCTCTCTGCCCTGTCAAGATTTGGACACGTATACCTGCCTGGCATGTTTTTCAAGCCATTGGGGGCTGGGATTTGAACCATATAGCTGGCCATGTGGGAATTCAGCTGCCTTAACCACCAAAGGAATCACGATATTCTTTTTTCTTTTTTTTTTTTTTTTGTCTTTCTCCTCCCAATGAACTGATGGAGAACACTTTCCCCTGCCCCCGCTTTTCTTCTATTTCTTGTGTTTTAATCCATGGATAAGCCAGAAAGTAGTGTGCTGCTATCGCATAAAGATGGGGAGGGTCAGGACCAGCAGTTGGCATAATGGCTAAGTCACTGGACTCGCATGTAGCTGACCGCAGTTCGAGTCTCAGACCCGGTGGCTTAAACTCATGCCGGGCGCGTGTGCATGGGTGCCCAAGATCCCAAGGGGAGACTGGAGGAGAAGGGATTGCGACGTGGCCATCCCCCCTGGGGATGATTTCTTGCTTTCTGTCTCTCTGTCTCTCTCTGTCTTCCTGGCGAGTGCACTCTGTCTGGCGAGTGCACGCGCCCTATAGAACACTCTCCAAAAAAAAAAAAAAAAAAAAAAGATGGGGATGCTTTCTGAAGAAAAAATGGGAACTAGAGCGGTAAGAGTGGATACATTTTAAATATTCACAAGATGAACTGAGAGTGCTTAAAAACTTCTCTGGGAGTCTAAAATCCCAGAAAATAAAATGAAATAACAAAAACCCTTACTAGAAGAAAGGGATACTTTACATATCCTAGTGATATAAATCTATTATCTCCAAGAGAAAAAACAAAAAACTTATTATTTTTGTTTTCCTTTACTGCGAGAGGGCACATGCATTCCCAAAGAGAGAAAGAGAAAGCGCCCCCCACTGGGGCATGGTCACACTGCAACCATCTTTCCGTTTCTCCAGCACGTCAGGATTTTCAACCCATCACAACCGGGATTTGAACTGCAGCATGCCCTGTGGGAGTCAACTGTGCACAGCACTTAACTATTTCCCGAAGAAAGAAAAGAAAATCACTCTCTAGATTAAGACACAAATGTAAATACGAGGACTTCGCAATGCTGGTAAGATAAATGAGGAACTTGAATTATCTTTCTAGAGCTGGAGAAGGCACTGGAGATGCCCTCACCAGGGTGTTGAACACTCACCTTCCCTCACATCAGTGCCCCTCCTCTATCTGGAAACAAAACTGCAAGGTAAAAAGAGCTGGTTTTCAAACATGTCTGAGCTTGGGGACCCAAATTAGGTAAGCAAAGGCATCATTCAAAACAACATATATGTCTTTTTGTTGTTGTTGTTAAGTCATCCAGGTCAAGGATTACATAAATTTGGAATCTGTGGAAATTCACATTTGCTAATATTCTATTTCTTCATGGCTCATTGGTAAAATTTTCCAAAATAGTCTATGTTATTGGAAATCAGAGAATATATGGAACATCAGAATGAAGGGAAACATGTTTAAAAATAAAACCCTTTTGCTTTGCTTTGCCAAAGTACTAGAGGATATTCTCCCGGCATTAGGAGCAAAAGCATAGGACTTGCTCTTCATCAAGCTTGCCTTCCTCTGTAATCTACCCAGTCACCTAAATTCAGATCTGCTTCATTTTTATTTTTTTTAAGAATTATTTATTTACCTTTTTAAAAATATATTTATTTCAATTTGACCAGAGAGGTACAGAGTGAGTGAGAAACAAAGCCTCCAGGTCTAAGACTCGAACTGCAGTCAGCCATGTGGGAGCCAGCGTCCCTAACCACCATGCCACCTGCCAGGCCCCTGCCTTTGTTTTTATCTCTACCTCCACTCTGAGCGCTCCCAAAGTCCACTTAATTCCTTACACCTTTCTAAACTGTTCACTACACTGCCTCAGCACCTCCTGTATCCAGGTCAGGGCACTGGGTCTTCTGTTTCCCTGCAGGCTGCCAGCCTCAAGTCTTGTCACCACCAAGCTTTACTCTCTGGAGTCAGTAGTCTTTCTAAACCATCAATCTGACTAAGGCTTTTCCCTACTTCAAACACTTCCACAGATAGGTTGGCACCCAAGTCCAAACTCTCTGCACGCCATATGAGACCTTTGGCAGTCTACAGCCTTCTTCAGCTCCAGCCCCTCGCCGTACACTGCCACTCACACTAAGATCATCCTTAAAGTTCTGCAGGTCCTTCCACACCCCAGGACCTTCCTGTAAGCTGCTCACCTGACTCAGGCATCCCCTCCATCTTTCCCCGACTAATTCCTACTTACGGTTCAGGTCTTTGCACCAATGCCACCTACTTAGAAACTTCCTCTGGTTCCATGGCTGGATGAGTCTCACTCCATATGTTGGCATATGTGAGCATGTGCTTGTCCCATGTGTGTTCATCATGTAGCATTGCCATTTTACCTCTCCTGCCTCTCTGATAGACCATGAGCTCCCTGAGCGAAGAGACTTGGCCTTGTCCAATTTTTCATTTTAAATGGTGTCTGACCCACAGGCGGGCTTCCGGCATGCTATGCATTTGTGGGATGGATGATCACAAATTGCCAACATCACTCTAACTTGCTAAATTCTCATGGGGAAGCTAAGAGTAACCCTAATATAAATATAAACACACATATATACAACTAAACCACTCTTATTTTTGATAAACACTGTCTGAGACATTCCTCAGGATTGAGGACTCTCTCAGGGAGACTCTCATTGACAGACATCTCCAGACACTGACACCTAATGAAGGAAGTTCTGGACTCTGTCCCAGGCCTGACTTCACCATGGGAGAGTCCCTAACATTCTCTAAATTTCAGTTCCCTCGCCATCTTTAACTGGTGATGTGAGAGATTCCTTCCTTCCCTGGGCCTTACATTTATGCAGACGAAAGAGGAAGTGCTTATGGAAACACTTTCGCATTGCACCATGTTTCCCCAGTTGGGAAGCTGGGAAATTCCCATTCACCACTGAGATGCGGCTGAGCCTCTTGACAACTATGCCTTCCCTGAACGCCCCGGAGTGTTCGTCACTTCCTCCCCCTGCGGCCACTCCGCATGTCCTATCTTCAGCCCTTACTTACCGTGCTGGTCTCACATTTGAGCCGTCCGCCTCTGTGGCCTGCGGTCACTCTGAGGCTGAGCATTCTCATTTGTCTTTGGAGCCTCATGTCCATCGGAGTTGCAGGGAGATAGAGGCTCCATTTATTAATTAATCTTTCAGTTAATTAGACAATCACGTGAAACACCACATGCATATAAGATGTGCTGGAATACCCTCCTACAGCTTTTCTCCTCCATCGCACTGTTCTTCCTCTGACTTCCCTCCTCCTCCTTGAATTCAGGTCATCTGCGTGGCCAGAAATGCCAAGGACTGCCCGATGTCCTGCCACCACCGTCACAGGGTGACTCCGTCGTTGCCCAACCCTCAGAGCTGGGAGGACTTCTGTGAGAAATTCATGTCAAGAAAAGGTGTGCGCAAAATGATTTTGTGGTGCCCTGTCCCTCCGGAAATTCTAATAATAAAGCACCTCTAGAATCGGTGGAGAAGGTACCAAATGCGGTTCTGAGTGACCAAGTTCTGTCTTGGAAACGTGGGCCTGGAGAAACCAGGTAGAGAAGATTGTTTTCCCACAAGTGGACACAAATGTAAATTGAAGTTGTACTAAAATGTAAATGTAGGGACAAAGATTAAAAAAAAAAAAAAAAAAAAAATCCCAGATCTGAGTTTTTAACAATCGCATTCAAAGGAAGAATCAGGGTGAGCTGGCCTTTTGGCAGAGTCCAGTAGGTGGTGCCTTCCAGTTTTTTTTAACCTCTGGCTCCCTTGTCTATTGAGG